AGAATCAAATTCAAATAAAGATTTATTTTCTTGCAAGTTGTAATGTTTTCCTTATTAGTAACTGCTTACTATCAATCACATGACTTTTTGGAGTTGACTGGGGGGCAAACAAGCGGTTGACTGGGGAGCAACTAGCGGATAAGTTAAAACATATCAAAATAAGTCCTCAAACTATAGTATTTGACTATTTTTCAACTCTATTTTTGCATCAAACCAGAAAACAAGAGATCAAAACAACCTCCAGAAATCTACAAGCCATCAAAAAAAAGCTATTACCAGAAGTGACGTCTATTGATAGCAACCTATAGAAAACTTTTTCTCTGTGTTTAGATAGCCTGAAAGCAACACTCGGGGGGTTGGGAGAATCCATATCAATTCAATGTCCAACTCAATGGCCGTACTTGAAGGGTTAAAACATAGCATAAGTGTAATGACTTCTGCTTTTCGTTCTGCTGGCATATATCGAGTATGTTTTGTATCAAGTGCATTTGGAATAGAGGGATCATGTTACAGTTACCTAGTATTCATAATTCAAGTGCGTGACAGGGTGGCGATCCAATTACACGACAAATGCTATATATATGTTATTTACCGTCCTATAGTCGGTCCGGATAGGGAAAAACTGTGCCCGAGGTCTTGAATATACGGACCGAGGGCACAGTTTTTCCCTATCCTGACCGACTATAGGACGGTAAGTAACTTATTTATATAACTTAGTTACTTACTTATTTTTCCCGTACCTTTTTTTACTTGTTTTGGTAATCGTTTTGTGTTGTCTTTTAGCGGCAAAGGATACCGGACCGCACGCGCGGGCAAATACTTACGAAATACCGCCCGCTCAAACAGCCAATCAGAACGCACGGTTTTTTAGGATACCGGACCGGAAAAAAATAAGGTATATTATGACGATCTATTATGACAATAAATGTATGGAGTTATTTGTATGTATTTGTATGTACATAGCACTTTGTATGTATTTGTTTGTTTGCCTAATTTTTGATTTTTTTCCTTTGTTTCCTTTTCTTTTTTTTTACTTCCTTCCTTTTCGTTCCTTCCTTCCTTCCTTCCTTCCTTCCTCTCTCTCTCTCTCTAGTTTATTGCCATTTGATCATGATTAATTAGTGCATTCAAAATTCGCGCAATACAAAAAATAACCACTTGTTATTATTTATCATTATTTTTCCACTTTTTCTCCTTTCCACTTCATCGAGAATATAAAATTTATTCTTGTCGTCGTTGCTCTTGTTGTTGATCAGAACTATACCATCCGTGGCCTGGGGATGCTTTCGATACCTTTTTTCCAAAATTAAACTTGATGCGTAGTTTCCAATCATTAAAATTCAAAACTTTGGAAACTTGCGATACTTTCTCACAAAAGACTTATACCGAACTGGATCGATCTGTCTGTCGATATTCCACTGATTACTATATTCATTTTGCATTTTTATATTCTTTAATTATAAGAAACTTGAAGATTGGATGAAATTATCGTGATCGTGTGAAAAGTTGAGATATTTTGACGTCAAAATCCAGGATTTCACTTCGAGGGGCTAATAGGGCCTACCCCTACCCCTACCCCTACCCCTACCCCCCTGAATAAGTTCCCTACCGGCACAGCCCATTGTACTCTGGGAATGTTATGGTATGGCGGAATTTCTTAATCGAGTCTTGTCATGTTAATCTTCCTTTTAAGCTTTCGCAATCAGTTTTAACCACTCTTTCACCCTTTCTCTTTCGCTTTAGCACTCCTTTTAAGTTCTTATAGCCGTCGATAAACACAATTCCCGACATTTTCAGCCAAAAAACGTTGCAAACCATGGCTCAGTGCGTTACTAAAGTCGAGCTTCACATCTCTTGTCGAGGTCTTTTGGATAAAGATACCATGTCTAAATCCGATCCTATCGCTGCTGTACTAACACAAGACAAAAGTGGACAATGGTTTGAGGTAAAGCAAGTTTGTCGGCTTGAGTTGGACTCTGTTTTATTGATAAGACTTCTACATAACGTCTGTAAATTATTCAACTTTCTTGCTTCTAACAAGCTTCTTAGAATCATTCTTCTTTAGGCTTACTTTATTGTGCAACATAAAGGATTTTGAAGACTATTTTAGACTCATAGCTGCAATTTAAAATACGTAATCTTTCATATTCATGCATAATTCTTTACGTTCATAGCTTTAAAATATTCGAATATTTATCACTGGGTTTCAAGATGTACAATTTGCCTTTTCCTAATTACTTTAATTGAAACAATTTGAAGCCTCTTATTTCATCAGCTACTCCAGAAAGTAAGGAATACTGAGTTATAAGTTATGAATTAATAGTTTTGGCTTATACTTGTTGAATGTGACTCTAGACTTCTGGTGATTTCAGCATTTACACATATACAATATTTAATACTTGTATATATACATGTATGCAATGATATAATCTGGAACATTAAATGGGTTGATATGCTGAGCTGTTTATAACAAAACAATAAGTATTAAAATAAAATACAAAACTTAACTTAGAATTGTGTTAAAAAAGTACTACCATCTGCAGTCAAAAATGTTCATAGTACTGTAAGTACTACTGTAGGTAGTGCAGAATAAAAGGTTTGCTTTGTAGCTTAGGGTTTCCAATACCAGCTTGAGTAAGCAGCAAMACTTACTGAAATAAAATGGCGGGAGCAACGAATGTATCTTTCTCGTATTTTCCTTAAATTTTTGGGAACTTTAATCAAAATAGGGAGACAAGTTAATGTAAAATACCCGGAAAGATTCGCTGGCCTGGTAGCTAGTAGAAATTAATTTGATAATAATAACCCAGGGGGAGGGGGGGGGGGGGGGGGGGGGGGGACTCTGGGAAAGAAGTACCGGGGATGCTTATTGTATCTTAGGGGTAAACATTTGCGGTTTAGTATCTTTTAGGGTGTTAAATGTGCGAATTTTTGAAAATCAAGCATTTTCTAGTATATAATCTATTAGGGTGTCGGAAAAGGAGAGAAGCACACATCGATATGGCTTATCCTAGGCTCTTTTTATATAAGATTTAATATTATTTGTGGGTTAAAAATCATTCAGCCACACCCTTTTTAAAGACTTCTGGTATCTTTTAGGGGTCTTCCGACAAGCATCCCTGGTACTTTTTTCCCGGAGTCCCCCCTCCCCCCTTGGGATAATAACACTCTGTAATTTCTCATTTTCAGTATGCAAGAACAGAGCGTGTCAAAAATGATTTAAATCCTGACTTTTCCAAATCCATTTCTTTGGACTATTACTTCGAAATGGTCCAAAAACTCAAATTTGCTGTGTATGATGTGGACAATGAGAGCAAAAAACTTGACGATGATGATTTTCTTGGTGAAATGGAATGTACTCTTGGTCAGGTTAGTCTTGCATAATTTAAATTATATTTGTCTTCTTCAATAAAATTATTATTTTACTTTTTGGTGTCTTTCCAGATTGTATCTAAGAGGTCATTTACAAAACATCTTGAAATTAAAGGCCGGAAAGTTGGAACAATTACTGTGAGTTTACTTAAATTTAAAAAGTTGGTTTCACATATAAAAATGGTGCATATTTATCTCACTTAAGGTTTATGGAAACAGCCTTTTTGAGAACAATCCAGATGCTTAAGAACACAGGGGTGGTTTTTGGATGGGTTTGGGGGTTGCAAATTCCATAAATCAAAGTCAACCCGTAAATGAAAACTGTAAACCCACTCATTAGTAAATATCCAATTAATTCAATATAAAAAAATTTATATTTTCCTCCTAATTCATTTTACTCAGTTAGCCAGTCACAAATCTACAGAAATTAATAATTAAGGCTGTTCACAAAATTAAGTTAATACATAATTGCAATTTTATTTTTTATTTTTTTCTGAACATACTGTACCTCATTTTAAAATATTCTTGTTTAAAAAATGAAATAAAAAACACATTTGTTTCTTTGCTATATCCCATCAAAATAAGGCCTACCAGAAAAAAACATTTGCATGTTTTAGCAAAATATGATGCATCCCATAAATACATGGAGAAAATTTTTTGAAAAATTAACTAAATGCTACAAAAACCTGCCTCAAGATCTAGAGCCCAAATAGAAAGAAGTGAAGAAACAATGGCCACAAATTAAATATGCTTAATATTGGTGGTTCAAACCTGCCTTAGGCAAATTTTGTGCACACATCCTTGGAATCAGGGGTTATCCACTTATGTCATATATTTTAATGATATAATCAGGAGAATTGCAACATTGTGCGTAACATTTCAACAGCACGATACCCTATAATTCTTATATTACAGGTTTATGCTGAAGAAATGACAGGTGGAAATGAGGTTGCCAAACTTACTTTCAGAGCAACAAATGTGGACAAAAAGGTACCATATAATATTTTCTTAAGAAAACAATTGAGGTAGTTAAATCGATTTTTGATCATATATTTTGACCTTTATTTCATTATTTCATTTTTTTTTTGTTTATTTTCATATGAAGGATTTTCTAGGAAAGTCAGACCCGTTTTTGGAGATCTCCAAAATGAAAGTTGATGGTGGATTTTTGATGATACATAGAACAGAGGTAAGATTTACTGTGCAATGTTTGTATTGAAAATATTACCTCAAGACATATTTTCAAAAATTATGAAATATAGCATTATATAAAAGATATAAATATAGCAAAATGTCCTGCTAATGCAGTCAAACTGCCTTTTGCCATTCAATGTTTTGCAAGGGATGTAAAATTATTTAGTTCACTAAGTTTATTGAGCTCTTTTTTCTTATTTTAGGAATGTAAAAGCAAAAGCTTTCATTTTTTATATAGTACTTATTGAATAATGTCTCAGCTCCACATGTCTTATTACAGACTCCATGTGAGACAGGCCATTCTGCCTTTATCTACTATAGTGATTTCTAAGAACATGCAAATATCACTCAAGGTCTATCCTTGTATTACTTTCAGTTCTTACTCTTTTTGGGCAATATTTCGCAATGTTTTTGAGTGCTTTTCTTTTTTTTTTAAAGGTGATAAAGAACAATTTGAATCCAAACTGGAAGGCATTTGATGTTTCTGTCATGTCTTTGTGTAGTGGAGATTATGATGCAACAATCAAGGTATTAGATGTTTATGAAGGAGATTATGTATGGCTTATGTATGACKCTTCATGACTTGCACATAGGCCTTTTCTGAATTCGATAAACAGGATGCATTGTAGTCTAGATTCAGTACAAACAGCACCATATAAGGTATGATAGACAAAAGATGTTTGTACCGAAGCTAGACCACAATGCACCATGTTTGCTATCTCAAAAACAGTCTATTGTGATCTAGTCTAACAAGGCTAATTTTAACTTACGGGTTGAAACCTTAAACAAGTCAAACCCTAAAACAATTTCTGGGCAGAACTAGGTCAGCAGAACCCTTAAACAACCCATGGGCTTATCTCAGTCAAAGCACTGCTGATTCACAAGTCAAACCTTGCTGAACTAAGTCAGGACACAGCTTACTCGCAGATTGAACCCTGAAACAATCTCTGGGTTGATCCTAGTCAATGGTTACTGCCATCACCAAACACTTTTTTTACTTTGGGCGTAACGTTTTTCCTTTTCAAAAATGTTTGGACTTTTCTTGACGGCATTGCTCGTCTGGTCTAATCATTTCTTGTCTCGTGCGTTACCTGGGACACGAAATTTATTCAAAAAGCGAATGACAAATAATGACAAGCGGTTGGAAATATAGTATGCTCACAGTAAAAGGACCCAATATAATGACGGGAGCCAATAAAAATTCTTCCGTATCTTATTATGCGTTACCGGGGACCTGAGATTTATTCTCAAGGGAATGATAAGTAATAACAAGAGATCTGAAATGGAAATACAGTATGCTCTGCCTAAAAAGATTTCAATAAAATCCCTACCCTTCGTCGTACGGGCATTGAATAACTAGTTGGCCCGAGGCGTGGGCTCAAGCATCAGCCAGACCACTACTGTACCTTAAAATAACTGAGGAGAAAGTGCTGCGTTTGTATTTACATCTACAAGTGGCTAGACTCAAATTAGGTTGCTCGGAAGACCACTTTAATGGTGTTTCGGTCCCTCTTCACACTTCCTCATCACTTACCAATAACAGAGGGACGTAAAAGAACCACTGAGGCCGTACAGAAACCTTGGCAGTGGCCATCCTCAGTTTCTACTCCTCATGACTAACCATATCTCCTAAATTCATAACTCATTGTAAAGCGCCATTCAGATCATACCCATAAAGAATAAGAGCGCTATATATATCGTAAACCATAATATTAATTGTACTTTAGATCGCTGTCTATGACTTTGACGAAGGTGATGCCAATGACTTGATCGGCGTTACTAACACCACCTTACGGCAACTGCTTGATGCGAAATCAAGTGGGGTATGTATGCCATTAACACTAGGCTACTTGTCTCTCTTGTGCTAGATTGATTGCTATGATTATGACAATGATGGTAGCCATGATTTCATTGGAAGCTGTTCAACATCGCTAAGGCAGATTATTCAGTTGTTGCAGACAAGGGTAGGTGTTGCGCATAACGATCTAACGTCCTGGTATACTCTGCAGTGGCCCTCCAGGTTGGGGGTTGGGCTGTGGGCTAATCCTCTGCACCCGGAAAACACTAGTGGTTATGGAAAACCAAATCATTGTTGTCATCTCACCTGCAGGTGAGGAGACAGTGAAATTAAATCAATTTTGTACTCTACACCGTTGCTTAGCAATCTAAAATTTTTCCTTTATAAGTGCATCTTTGATCCTTTGTATAATACGAGGTTTAAGTGGTCGGGGTTCATTCGAGAAACAAACGCTGCATTTGCTGCCAAATACCAAGGACAGTCGTATAGGATCTGGAAAAATGCTGTTCCCCTAAGAAAAGAACAATTTTAGACCCAATAGACCTTGAATCTTTTGGTCGTAAGCTTTTCCCATTTTTCACGACTTGCCATTAGCCTGTGTACAGCCGTTTACCACCCCTCCCCCGTAGGGAAATGCAGACTGATTTGTGTGGGTCCAATTTCTTTTCAAGCTTTCTTTCGATGGTAGGTAGATGGACAGTCTCACAATTCAACCTTCTTCTTTTCTGCCTTTTTAGAAAGGACTGGATTTGATCAACCCAAAGAAGCAACAAAAGTCCAAGAAGTACGTCAATTCTGGTGTTCTTTACGTCAGTCTGTGTGAGGTAAGCCGAATGCTTGCGCCCCTAAATAATGGTGGTATTCTCTGTAACGGCGCCGTTTCTCACCGCTGTGTACGTAGTTCACGCCTGGGGTCGCGAGTTTGATTTTCTGAACTGAACTGTATATAATTGAAAATAAATTTAGTTGTTCTGCTGTTCTCTCCCTTAAAACGGGAGTTTTTCTAAATCAACATGCGACATGTTAGCACGACGTTCTTTGCTGGCTACCGCAAACCTCAAATTGCAGTTTGACGTCAGGCGTTTTCCGTCAAATTTTCAACATTTAGAAAGGCGTCATATCGACGTTTGCGATGGAAGAGCCGCTATATTAATTGATATTTATGGATTTAGAGCGTTTCTTCGTGTTTGCGGGCGTGTTTCTGGGCCTCAACCCTAGCAGTTAGCGATTTGCGGTAAACCCGATGTTAAAAGTCACTATTGTGTATAGAGCTAACTTTGCGGAAGAGTCCCTCACGGGGAATGATGGTTGTAAAATAAAAGAGCTACATCGCTTTATAGTTTTTGGGTTAATGCTAATCGATATTTTTTTCTTTTCTTTCAGATCATCCATATTCATTCGTTTCTGGATTATGTAATGGGAGGTTGCCAGATTAATTTTACGGTATGAACTTACTGAAATTATATATTTTTTTAGCACTGCGCATTTTCTGCGCATGCTACTAAAAGCATGGAACTAACGAAGTTTAGGCATTTATCTTTCGGAAACTAAATAAGAAACATGCTCCAAACCAATTTTCACTTTTTTCTCTTTCTTGATTAGCGAAATTGCGATTTTTATCTGACTCGCCCCAGTCTCCACTCGGAAAAGTGTCAATTTTCGACTATTTTGAGAAGTTTTTTTCAAGATAAATCAAAAACGAGAATGGTGACCCCATATTTTTATTGCAGTTTTTAGATGTCCATGACATAATTAATGTCAATGCAAAGTTTCAGGACAAAGTTATCGGCAAAATTTCTTTCGAGGGAATTACCTTAAATGTCATTTGGAGCTATTAACCGGATCTCATATTGGCGTTTTTTGTAGTTGTTGTTTTTTCGTTTTCTTATCCTCGTTAATTTATTGTTTGAATGTTTGTCTTGCTATCTATTTGTCCTTTCCATCTTCTTTTATGCTGGTCTGTCTATCTGTTCGTCTCTGTCTCACTCTGTCTGTGTGACAGTCTTTACATCTTTTGGTCTGTCTGCCTGTCTGTCTGTATTTTTAATTGTGTGTTTGTTTTTGAATGCCAAGGTTGGTGTGGACTTCACTGCATCGAATGGTGACCCAAACAACCCTCAGTCTCTTCACTACATGAATTCATACGAACCTAACGAGTATCTCAAAGCATTGACGTCCGTTGGGGAAGTCTGCCAAGACTATGATTCGTGAGTAATAGTTCTTTTTCGCTCGAGCGTAATGTTTTCCCATTTCAAACCACGTGTCATTCCCTAGAGTATCATTTCTTTGTTTAACAGTTGTGCAATTTCATTTAACCACAGTATCAAAATAACCCATTGAGTAATCTAACTTACAGCCTTCTGTGCTGTCCTCTCTTCAATTCACTTGTGTATTTCCTATAAGATGTCATCGTATAAATCTCATCAATTGTTTATGCTTAAGATGCATCTGTTTTCTTTTCACCGCAGAGATAAACTGTTCCCTGCTTTTGGCTTTGGGGCTAGAGTTCCGCCATCTTTCGAGGTATGTACGATAATTTCGCCAACTCATTCATTTGACATTCAAATCTAGGCGAAATACGCTAAATGAAATGGGCCATGGGGCAGGGCTAACGTCCATGGATTTTAAGTCGAACCTCTACTCTAGTCACAGATAACAACTTTTGGAGGTTTATTGGTTTTGAACTGTCAGCAGAAAATCTAGGTTTATCTTCATATCTTACTAAATTGTTGTTTTTCCACAGGTATCCCACTCATTTCCTTTGACTTTCAACGCTACGAATCCTTATTGCCAAGGTATTTATATTCATGGAGTGTTCACATTGCCCATGCAGGGCAAAACGATCGATGTTTTTTCGTTTGGGAAGTGAAATCTCTTCTCATTCGAAAACGTCGTATTGTTTTGTAAACCCACATGAGTTTATTATTTTCCCTGTCTTCAATTTGCTCTCTTCAACCTTTCACGATGTACTTGATGTACATTGATGTTACTTGATGTACCTTGATGTACTTGATATACCTTGCCATTAGGGCTGTTTTCGTAGGAGTACATCTTATCGTGGCCGTAACTATGCGTTGTGATTGGATGAATTACTGGAAGGCAATGGAAAGCCACTCGTACCTTGGTCGTGCTGTAAGTCAGAATAGTATATGGCCCGCTCTTACGATAAACATTCTTAAGGGAAGCCATTCCAATGTTACCGCATGTCGCACCGTGTTCGTGCTACAATTCAGCACCGTTTGTTTCGTTCTTATTCGATAACCGCTCTAATTTTTTGAGATTTTTTACCTTATTTCTATTTGTTGCGAGGCTTACCCATACCAGCAAATTTAGGATATCAGAAGTATGGATAACCTCGGAAAAGATATACTGTCATTGAACTTATTTGTATTTTTGCCGGCGTTTAGGGGTCAGTGGTGTAGTTGCAGCATACCAGGCGTGTATCCGTCAGGTTCGATTGTATGGTCCTACCAATGCTGCACCAATCATCAACCATGTGGCTTCGTTTGCTCACCAGGCTGCTCRAAAACGAGACGCATCGGTATGTTTTTAGTGATTATAAAAAAAATGTTATCACTAATCACCACCGCATGAAGCTTCAAGTATAGTAGTGGCAAGCTCAACGGGTCGAACTGAAAGACTCTAAACACGCCTCTGGCTGCCGCTATACAGTCCATTTATATTCTTCCGTCTGTGAGTTAGCCGTACCCGCCAGATTTCGATCGGCCTAGAGGTTGTTTCAGACTATCGACAAAATAAATTWAAAAGATTTTTTTTCTTAACAGCTTTTAAAATGGCCTTCAAATTTTTTTAACAGCTTCATTGGCCTTCAAAATTTACAATAAACCGAACAATCAAGCGAAATCGTCCAGCTTGCCTTCCTTTCCTTTCTTCTTTCTTAGTCTTTTCTTTTTGTTTCCTTTCGTTATTTTCTTTCATTTCTTTACAGCAATACTTCGTGCTGTTGATGCTGACGGATGGTGTGTTATCAGATATGGAATATACCAAAATTGCTCTGATTCGCGCATCCCGTCTTCCTATGTCAGTTATCATTGTTGGTGTTGGTACTGCTGACTTTACTGACATGAACGAGCTGGATGCAGATGAAGGCTTGTATGTACAAAAAATAACTTTTATTTTCTTTGAAGTTAGTGGTTTAAACTGTCGTAAGTTTATGCGAAGTGCAAAATTGTTGTTTTATTTGAAAACCTTTTTTTTTTCAGTTTACGTTCAGGTACAGAGGTAGCTGAAAGAGACATTGTTCAGTTCGTTCCTTTTAGGGATTATAAAGGGGTTAGTAGGATTAGCTACATTCTACAACATCGTATTAAATTGCATTGAATAAAACAGCTAATATTCATGCATTCATTTTCTCTCGTTCATTTCCATTTGTGTCTTTTCCCTTCCTTTCCTATTCTTTCTCATCCTACTCTTTCTTTTTCCTTTCATTTACCATTCCTTCTTTTTTTCCTATTTTTTCTTTTCTGTTCTCTTATAAATATATATATTTACAGCCATTCTCAATCACACGCGCCCTCCAGCAATTTTTTCTGTCGCGACGAAGATTTTGGTGGACTTCAATCATAGGGCGTTTCCATGACATTGTCGAAAAACACACAGCTATAAGGACACGTGCCTATAGAATGTCATGGAAACACCTTCATTGACGTCCACAAAAAGCTTCTTCGTCGGAAGGGACTTCAAGATTTTCAAAATCTACGTCGACGACGTCAGGCGGAAGTGTAATTTATTTCTCTTTGGGGTTCTGTTCATTGGAGATTTCATTCAAAACATTGTCAGTAAAGTCAACTCATCCACAGAGAAGACAGATTTTAAAGACTCGAAACCCCAAAGTGAAGTAATTTACATTTCCGGTTGACATTGCCGTCATAGATTTTTCAAATCTTAAGTCCATAAATCGCTAGAGGAGCGCGTGATTGAGAATGGCTGTAATGGTTGGAACATATCAACATTTTTTCCCCAGCAATCGCCAGCGTTACTGGCCCAACACGTCCTAGCAGAGGTGCCGAAGCAGGTCCAGGATTACTTCAACTCCAGAAAGATCCCACCAATAAACCCTAAAGGTCCAAGTCCACCCTCACTGGCCGGGCTCTAAAAATCCAACCTTACATTTTTTAATTCTCATAAATTTTAATTAAATAAGGAATGCTCTTGGAATAATGACCGAACTTCGCGTTTAAACTAATGCAATTCACTTGAATGAATAATTTAATTAACTGCCCTTGAGCTAGCTAACTAATGCCAAGGGGGTTAAGGGAAGACTGCCTTATTTAAGGGTGTCGGAGGAGATTTCATTCATAATTTAAAATAATCTAGGTAGTTAGTATACACTTTAGTTAAAACTTAGTCAATATAGTAAATCAAGTTAGTGGCTATTCATGCGTTTACATTTAATGTACCAGGAGACCTTCGCGACCGATCAATGTTCACTAAAAAATATCACAGCGCACTATTCATGGCTATAAAAGTATACATTTTCTTCTCGCTGAATAAAAACAAAGTCCAACTATTTGATCAATTTTTAATCAATCATTAATTTTTGCGAGTGCGAGTTAATTTTCGACCGTTTTTTTCAAGACGTTCCTACAACGCCGTATTTCAATCGATTTTGATGAAACGCTGATATGTCGACCTATATTTCATCTCAAAAACGTTATCTAACACATGTATATATATATATCGTTATTTTATGATTTTGTTATAAAATTGTCAGTAATTCGTTGCTGATAATGCCCTGGTGTTAATGATAAAATTGTCTGTACGTTGATGACGATGCCCTGTTGATGTTTGTCTGTACGTTGATGACGATGCCCTGGTGATGTTTGTCTGTAAGTTGATGACGATGCCCTGGTGATGTTTGTCTGTAAGTTGATGACGATGCC